GTCTCCAGATTCCTGATAGATGCTTCCTGATTTCTGAATGAAGTCTTGGTCTCTTGCATGAATGCAGATATTTCCTCTCTGAATGAATTAGACCCCTGAATGTAATCTTGAGTAGTCTTGGATAACTGAGCAAAGGTTTTTTCCCATGCAACAGTATCACTTGGCTGTGATAAGTGTGTTGGAGGAGGATGCAGTGGAGGATTCAACTGATGGTTGGAACTATAACTAAACCCTGGGTGCTGATTCTTGTTCTTCCATGGTGGCACATACACATTTCGCCCCTGGTTGTTGTTGTCATACCACACTCCATTAACTTCCGCATGTTCTGGTGATCCCTCATAGTCACATTCCTCTGTCACATGGCCCTTCCCATAGATAGCACACACGCACTTGGTGTCCGCAGAAGCAACCTTTTGTGAGGATAGTTGCTTAGTGAGAACATCCAACTGCTGTTGCTGTTGTCTCTGTGTCTGCATCAACTGGTCATTCCTTGCCAATAGGGCATCATACCTATCCAACTTGATGATCCCTGCCCTTCTGTCAGGCAATGGGGCATTATCAAATTCCTGAGATGCCAATGATTCAAAGATATCCAAAGCTTCTTGAGGAGTCTTGGTGGTCAATGATCCACCAGCAGTGGCATGCACCAATGTGCTAATGTTGGTGGTCATTCCTTGTAGGAAGATTGTTGCTTGTTGCCATGCCTCTATTCCATGCTGTGGACATTTCCTCAATAAAGTCTTGAATCTCTCCCAGGCCTCATAGATGGATTCTGACTCTTTTTGCTTGAAGCCTGTAATCTCATCCTTCAACTTAGCCCTCTTGGATGCTGAGAAAAATCTCTGCAAGAACTTGGTTTGCAGATCATCCCAAGTTGTTATACTCCCCTGAGGCAATGATTGCAACCATCTCCTTGCATCATCCTTCAGTGAATGAGTGAATAGTCTCAACAGAATTGCATCCCTTATGACACCATTAATTTTCACAGTATCACTCAACAACAAAAAAAATTCTATATGCAAGTATGGGTCCTCTGCACTGGTTCCAGCAAACTGATCTTTCTGTACCAAATGTATCAATGTAGGCTTCAATTCGAAGTTGTTTGGTTCCACTGTAGGGCACCTAACACTCCCAATGGGAGGGATCACTGCAGGAGTCGTGTACTCTCCCAGTGTACTCTGTTCTGGTGGTGGTGGTGGTCTGTGGTTCTCTGCCATAACTTCTTATTGGTTGACAGCACTGGTTTCACCCCTTTCTTGAAACTGTCTTCTTTGTCTGGCTGCTCTTTTGTTCTTCCTCACTGTCCTTTCTAATTCTGGATCATACAACAAAAAATTTGGATCAACCGTACCTCGCATACACCAGAATTAAAATTGACCAAAAACTTAACTAAAAGTAAAATGCTGAAAATAAAAGATTCAATCTCAGATTTCTATGGTATCAATCAATGTTGAAAAATAAATCCCCGGCAACGGCGCCAAAAACTTGTTGCGGATCTAGCAAGTGTACTAGTTGTACAAGTAATAAAATGATGAGTAAAGATCGTTCCCACAGAGATTTGTATTCAAACACCAATGAACCATAGAAAACTAATTTGAATTAAATAAAGGTTTGTAAAAATCATGAATGTTTTGTCACCAGAAAGTTATTTTGAAAGTAAATTAATCTAATACTAAAATTTGAATTAAGATTTATAAAAACAAGTAGTCAGAAAACAACTTCCCTCAACAATAAACTCATGTAAAAAATCATGAATTCTTAATTCATATATTAAACACTAAAGTCTTAAGATTACATCAGAACTCTAGCATCAATCCCTTGAGTACTAGAATCCTGATGATGAGATTGCCAAATATAGGAGTAGTGTAAACATTCCTGTTCTACACCACTCCCTTAGTAGAAAGAATTGAATAAGAAAATATCATATCAACACATGAAAAATACTTCATCATATTAATCAAACATACATAAGATTATCATTAAGTTCCATTGAATTCAGACCACAATGACTCTACTCAGACATAACTAAAGAATACACAAGAGAAGAAAGATCAAACTCCATTTCCATGTAGTGAATCTTCAATCTCCAAGTGCAATTACAATAGAAAACTAACTAATACAAAGACTAAGTCCTAAGAATTTTAGAGAGAAGTCAGATCAGAGAATCTGATGTAGGAGACAGAGAGAAACTCCAGACTTTGTAAAATGTGAAGGTCTTTGCCTTATATAGTTTTACAATTTAAAACAGAAATTTAATATGGGCGCTAAAACGTTCAGAATGAGCGTTTTAGCGTCCATACTGGACGGATGCCCAACTACTTTCAACTAACTTGAACGCTAAAACGTTCATAAATGGCCGTTTTAGCGTCCATGCCTTGTGAATGCTCAACTGACTCCACCGCTAAAACACTTGGTTTGGACGTTTTAGCGTTGGAGACCAGAGGCTTTTTCCAACAACAGGGCGCTAAAACGCTTGTTGCAGGAAGTTTTAGCGCCCAAGACCAGCAACTTTTCATCCTCGGAATGCAGCAGCGCGCTAAAACGTTCTGTGTGGACGTTTTAGCGCTCAGCACCAGCAAGTTTTGGCCTCTTTCTGTAGCAGGGTGCTAAAACGTTCTGTGTGGACGTTTTAGCGCTCAACACTTAGGCATTTTTCTCCTCTTCATAATCTTCTTCCTTCTCCAGTTGCCCTTTTAGCTTGCTTTTCCTACAAAAACAATACAAATTATCAATAAAGCTCCTTGAACTTGTAGTTGAGGACATTCTAGGACATTAACCTCTTTTTCCATCATTTAATCACACAAATTGATACTAATTCATGCTGAAAAACTTGATGAACTAAGAGTTGATCATCGTGTGACCTAGAGCGAGTTTGGTCTATCAAGAACCTACAACTTCGTCTACGTTAGATAAGATCTAGCCCAATATATTTAGTAAAATAAAATATGCTTAGGCCTAAAAAAAGTCTATTTAAAAAATAAGACATAAACTTACTTTTAAAAGAATTTGTTTGTAAGTTTAAAATATGTTCATCGATATAATATTATTTATTTTAAATTAAATAAAATTACTAATCAATTAAGAAAATAAATATTATTATATTTGTTTTGAATTGACGTGTCTTAGGTTCCATAGGTTTAAATAGATTGATAGGCACAAAATCTTTTTTTTTTTCAAAAATAAGTTGGGTGATATATATATATATATATATATATATATATATATATATTTGATATGGTGGAAGTAACCTAATACAAATTATCAAAATCCCTTACCATTAGACCAATCCTAATGACTTATTTTTTATTAAATTTTTAAAATAGATAAGATAAGATCACATATACTTTTTTTTTTGGTAAAATGATCACATATAATTTAATTTATATTAAGTTAGTAAGTTCTTGTCAGTTTAAATCAAAACCTAATTTTATTCCAAAAAAAACCCTAATATAACCTAACCTAATATCCTTTTTACACCCTTAATTTGTGATAAAAAAATTTTATTTATATAATAAAAAAACTTAGATTCACTTATATTATAAAAAAAACCCTTTTTTTCTATATCAATATTATGTCACTTATAATTTTAAAAATATAATTAAAATAAGGGATAATAGTAGTAGATATTGTTAACAAAAATAAGAGTAAAATTCTTTTTAAGTCTTTAACAAAAACTACGGTCCTCACTTTAGTTCCTTACAAAAAAAAAATTAGTCGCCTGGTCCCTATAAAATTCAAAGTGGATCCATTTTAATCCTTTTGAGGGTCTCATGTTTGTCTTTTTGAATTTGTAAGGGACCACGATTTCAACTAAATGGGTCTACTTAAAGGACTTTGAGACTAATTTTTTTTGTAAGAAAATAAAATGGGAATCCTATTTTTTGTTAGAGACCCAAAAGAGATTTTACTCAAAAAAATAAAAAAATCACACCTTAACATTAGCATGAATTTTTTTTTTTTTTGGCGTAGCATGAAACTTTTAAGGAATTAATATTTCTCATATTATAAGATTATAAGAACTAATTTACAAATAAAAATAGGGGAAGGATATTGTAACAATTAAGTTGTGTTACTACCAATCAATCTCAACGTTAGATAGATTATATTGATCTAACGGTTATATTTATTTCCATCTTTGTATGATTATGATTTCCCATATTTAAAGTAAAAGCATTAAATATGGAAAATCATAACCATACTAAGGTAGAAATAAATATAAAGTATTAAATTTGAAAAATCATGGCCATGCAAAGATAAAAATAAATATAATCGTTGGATCAATATAATCGATCTAACGGTGAGATTGATTGGTAGTAACATGGTAGTAACACAACTTGATTGTTACAATATCATTCTCCATAAAAATATATGGAATCTATATTTTGTTTTTTCTCTTCTAAGTTCTAACTCATGTAATCCCATATATTTTTTGGATTTAGTGTTTATTATTTTAAATGACATAAGTTATGTCATTTTAAGAGAGAGATAGACAAAAAAAATAAAAATCATAGGAGAGAAAAAGTGAATGATTTTTTTAATTTAAATTTTAAATAAAAAAATTATTTTATGTCTGTCTCTCTCTAAAAATGACATAATTTTATGTCATTTAAAATGACAAACACTCTTCCCATATTTTTGTATATACATAAAACAAAAAATTATCTTCTAAAATATTAAACTCAATCTTTAAAGGGTTTTCGTTTTATCCTTTAACATAACACAACAAACTTTCCTACCCTCACAACATTTTGTGGGGCCCACACTTTTTAAAACAAAAAAATAAATAAAAAATTAAGGCACGCAAAACGAATCTCTATAACATTACACAATCACTTTTCTTACAACATAACTCTTATAAAACCCATCTTTAAATGCATGAAGAACACAATTTCTTGTGCGGATCAAAATCAAACGTGGGTTGTGTTAAAGCCTTGGGGGTTTAATTGGTTTCACACGGTGTGTTTCAACCCACACTCCCCAAGTGTCTATGTTCCACTCTCCACTGTCGCTGCTATAAATGCCTCGCTGGCTTTTTTGCCACACCTTCTACTCACATCATTTCACATACATACACTCGGCCGCACCCAAACTTTCCCCAGCCAACCTTCGGATCTCCACATCCGTCATGTCCTACCGCCCTAACTACCAAGGCGGCGGCCGCAGAGGTGCCGCCTCATCCTCTGGTCGAGGCAGAGGTCGCCGCGGAGGAGGCGGTGGCAGCGGCGGTCGCGGTGGTGGACGCGGCGAGCAAAGATGGTGGGACCCAGTTTGGCGAGCTGAGCGCCTGAGACAACAAGAAGCTGAGGTAAAATTGAAATTGAAGTTGAAACAAATAAGTGATTTGAAGAAGTGTGTGAATGTAAAAAGCTTTTTGTGTTTATGAGTGTTTGATAATGCAGAGTGAAAGTTCAATGGTGCTTTTGTTGATGCTTTGATCAATTTTAATGATTAATAATAATTTGGGGTTTTTATGCAGAAGGAGTTGCTTGATGAGAATGAGTGGTGGGATAAGATAGAGAAGATGAAAAGAGGAGGGGAGCAGGAAATGATCATCAAGCGTTACTTTAGTGTTGCAGATCAGCAAACTCTAGCTGATATGGCTTATAAGCATGGGCTTTACTTGTATGTTTCATTAAATACTTTGAATTTTCTTCATCATTTAACCAGAAAGTGAATTGAGACTTTACTTTCAATTGTGTATTTGTGATGTTTTACTTTGTTCATTTTGGATGGAGGAATGAGGAGTTATAATTGTGGATGAGATAATCAATGGCTGAGACTGAGATCACTATGATAATATACCTTGGCATTTGTTACAGTTTAATAAATTCTTCTAATATCACCTAAAATAAAGAGTAGTTATTTTATTTCTTCTAAAGGTTTCCCTGATATCTTTGTTTGCTAATGTTTGTATGAGGATCAGCCTTGAACCAAACCATACTTCACTTATTGCGAATTTTACAAGTCAAGCCATGAGTTATGTTAAATAATAATATAAACCATTAAAAAGGCACCACCCAACAGCTTAAGCTTTTGGGTTGAATTGATTCTTTACATGGTATTAGAGCCTCGTGTCCCGGATTCGATCCTCACCGCCTCCCACTTTTCTCTTGTGGAATTTTTTAGTACAGGTAGACTTGGCCTGATACATCATCCACCATTTAAGCCTAATGGGATCTCGTGTGAGGAGGCGTGCTAAATAATAATATAAACCATTAAAAAGGCCCTCACCCAACAACTTAAGCTTTTGGGTGGAATTAGTTCTTTACAAGTTCTTATGGATTGAACTTGGCTGTGTACCAAATAAGTAGATAACTGAACGGAAATCATGTAACATCAATTATATTAACATATAACAATAGTTTATATTAGATAACAATGTCAATTTCCTATGCTATACTTTATACACAATAAATGAAAACAACTTTGTGGGTAATAGATTTTCAGCTGTAACAACCTGTAGGAATTTTTTGTTTTTTGTTTTAATAGATTTTCAGCGGTGGTAACTTAGCAACACATATATTAAATAAAGGTCCTATTCATAGGATTGTATTGGTTACAAAGGAGGTCAATGAAATGACATGGTGTGGAGACTGGGGAGGGTAATCACAGGCTAAAATGCATGTAAAAGTGGCCTCGCTGGGATTTGATGCTGGGATCAAGCAATCTCCAAAAGGACTTGGTGCCACTGGCTCTTGAGTGAATATAGTATATTCAAATATAAACAATTGGCTCAATTCATCTCCCAAATTGTGTCGTGGACTGAAATTTTTTCGTTGTGATGTGCATGAAACCAAACTGCACATCCAACAAAGTTTGGTTTTGGAAATGTTTAAGTGGTATACTTGGTCTAGTTCAGATTTTTGACTCCCCTAGTCTGCATATTGTGCTTATGGTAGTGGTATTATTTTAGATCTAGAAGGAAGGGCTGGGCAACTATATTGTGTAACATAACTCTCTGAATTCTTGACAGTAATTGAACTTGTGGAAATAGAGTCATTTGGCATAGCATGTGATACATACTCAGCATACATTCACTTCTACTTGTGAACATGTAAAGCTTAATCTGATGGTTTTTGATCTTGTCTAACATCTTAATCACCTGAATTGTATTTGGGCAAAGAAAGCCATGCTTATGATAAGGGGAAGACTCTTGTTGTTAGCAAAGTTCCATTGCCAGATTACCGTGCAGATCTTGATGCGCGTCATGGATCAACACAGAAGGAGGTGGAGTATATCTATACCTTGTTTCAATGTCTGATTGCCGATATGAGATTTCTTGTTGCAAATTCTGGAAATGTACTGACTATGTTCAGTTTTCTGCAGATTAGAATGTCCACAGACATGGAGAGGAGAGTAGGAAATCTTTTGAATAGCTCACAGTCAATAGAGGCAGCATCTGCTAGTTTGCCTTCTGTATCAACTGACCTGGGACATAAACAATCAATGACTACTATAAAATCTGTTTCTTCACAGAAGACTGATTCTTCAAAGGAGAAACTTAGTGTTGTACTCAAAGAAAGGCAGGAACTTGCACAGGTACAAGCATTTGGTAGTAATTTGACCACCAATCTGATGTCATTTGTTTGCATCAATTGTGCCAATTACATGACTGTTTTATGTTGTATCTTAAACTTATGTCAGGATTGGATATTATTCATGTGCAGGCTAGTGATTGTTTGAAGGAAATGATATCATTTAGAGAGAAGCTTCCTGCATTTAAAATGAAGTCTGAGTTTCTGAAAGCGGTTCAAGAAAATCAGGTGGGCAGATATGCTATTTATCATGACAAATTGTCTTATTTACTATAGTTTATTGACTTAATTCATAATAGGTAATAAATATATCTGTAGATCTTCATGGAAATAAGAAAAGGACAAACTCTGTTGCTAGATCTGCAAGTGGAATAAAATGTCAATATGATGCATGGTCCGTTTGGATTTGAACTTCTCTTGATACTGTTTTTATGATTGTTCCTTAATTATCATCAATTGAAGTCATTGTAAGGTTTTAATTGTAGTTTTGGTTCTAGAACAGAGTAAAAATTGGCTTGTGTTAGTGCAGGTATTGGTAGTTTCAGGAGAGACAGGTTGTGGCAAGACAACGCAACTGCCACAATTTATACTGGAAGAAGAAATATCGCGTTTGCGTGGAGCTGATTGCAACATAATTTGTACTCAGCCTCGTCGCATATCTGCAATTTCTGTTGCAGCTCGAATATCTGCTGAAAGGGCCGAGAGTCTTGGTGAAACAGTTGGATACCAAATCCGGCTTGAAACAAAATGTTCTGCGGAAACACGCCTTCTTTTCTGCACCACTGGTGTATTACTTAGGAAATTGGTAATATGAGATTCCTCTCAAATTGAATGTCTCTTGTTTTTAAACTTTCAGTTCATGTCTAAACTTGTTTTAGACTTTTAGGTGTTTCTTCAATCATTAATTGATCATTATTAGGTTTTGATGTTCCCTGTGCTATTTTTCCTAAGTTTTTTTTTGGGTGGGGGGTGGGGATTGTTTGTTGCTTCTTGTTAGATATAAAATCATTATGAAGTATGAACCTTCAACTTTAGCTTAAGTTTTTGCGAGAGTTGGCGATTGACATGGTATAGAGCCGTAAGGAGTTTATTCCTTGTCGTCTCCATTATTCTAAATAAAAGTTGAATTTCAGCATAAGGTAGGATGAGCTTGTGCATTCTCCATGCTTTATGCTCAAAGGGCTCTTGTGTGAAGGTGATATGTTAGATATAAAACAATTCACAAACCTTCACCTGATAGCTTAAGCTTTTGGGAAAACAGGTGATTGACACTTCCTGCCCTGCATATTGTGATAGTGGTGTTGCATAGAACATAAAATTCATACTCTGAGGAGAGGATAAAATAGTTAAGTAATTACAAGATTAGTCAAACTGAATATCTATCTTTAATTTGAAAGAGGAAAAATATAAAGTTAAATATCTTGCAGCCGTATATGGAATATTCATATATTCTTCGCAGCTGGCAGTGATGTTGATATCTGTTTTCTGTCTTTGTTGTTAAATAGGTCCAAGATCCAGAGTTGGCTGGTGTTAGTCATTTGCTGGTGGATGAAATTCATGAAAGAGGCATGAATGAAGACTTTTTGATTATAATTTTGCGTGACCTTCTTCCTCGACGTCCAGATTTGCGTCTCATTCTAATGAGTGCCACTATCAATGCTGATTTGTTCTCTGAATACTTTGCAAATGCCCCAACATTGCACATACCGGTATTGCATTATTTTTAGATTTCATGTTATTGAGTTATATTAGTGGATTTCAGTGCGAATACTTCTTTTTTTTTTTTTATTTGGACATGTGTGCCAGGGATTTACTTTCCCTGTGGTGGAGCACTTCCTAGAAGATGTGTTGGACAAAACTCGATATATCATCAAGTCGGAGTTTGACAATTTTGAGGTGAATTCAAGGAGAAGAAGGAAACAACAGGATTCTAAGAAGGAATCTTTGACCGAAATGTTTGAGGCATGTATATTTGACATATCAATCCATCTATTTATGGTCTTCATGATGTATAAGATGCTTTAAAGTATCAACTCTTTAATTCTCACAGTACTTTTTGCATTGAATTAAGAATTAAGAGTCGTGTCTCCACTGTTTTTGTTTCATGGATCAAGTAGTGTCTTGTATTCTAGCAATGTCTTATGAATGTCTATGTTGTTGGATTCTACCTTGGCTCTGCCCCCTGCCTCTTCTTTTTCCAATGTTCTGTATTCGATTTGTGGTAGTTGCACAGTCAATATGGTGTTGATATCAAAAGATTATTATTTTTCCGAAGCTTTTTAAGAAGACCATGTAGCGAAAGCAGTTCCTAATTGTTGTAACAAGGCAGTCTGCAATGTTCCATGAGAGATGCTCTTTTTGTGTAAATATTATTTATGGCATAAAATTTTGATGATAGACGATTCATTTTGGTGGGGTGGTAAAATATGTGTATGAGCAACATGTTCATATGGCTCAACTTCATGAATGTTTTGGTGTGTGGTGTGTACTTCTTTGATGCGGTGCTTTTGGTTAAAAGAGAGGGAAGGTGGCTGACTTGGAGGTCTATGGAGTGAAAGACCTTCATGGTCAACAGTTAAATATATTATCCTCCTCTTTCTTTGTAATCCATCTCTCTCTCTCTCTCTCTCTGTCTCTCTCACTCTTCTAATAATTTTTTTTTTTGAAAATAAAAAACCAAAACTTGATGAAAATTTTTCAACAATTAAGTGGTCTAGCCTACCTATCCAATTAAAAATTTATTAGTCTTTTCTTGCAATTAGTGGAATGCTTTATAACTTATTTCTTCTCTAGAGTTTCTACTTGTGGGCTGTCTACTATTTTACTTACTAATGGGCTCACCCCTTTCCATTGTCACTGTATATATAAATGTATGTATAATACTTACACAACTTTTTTGTTCTTACAGGATATTGATGTAGATAGTCATTACAAAAATTACAGCTTAGGTGTTAGAAAATCTCTTGAAGCTTGGTCAGGTTCACAGATTGATTTGGGTCTGGTATGTATATGCACCATTTTTTATTTTGCTGATGAATCTGTATTTTGTGAATTATATCAGCTGTTGGGCAAGTCTCTTTTTCTCTTTCTCGATCTTTGTAAGAAGCTTAGCTGGTATTATTTGGTCAAGATGCATCAGAAGTTTGATTATTTGTACTGCTGCTAGTGTAAAAGTCTGTGTTGAAACAGAGTATTTGGGAGAAATTGAGTGTGTTATCTACTCACAGTTCATCTTATTATACACTGAGTGGATTAAGTATAGGAGCTAACCGATGACTAATTATAGAGCTAATTAACAGCTATTAGCTATAGTCATATAGTACAGATGAATAATATTCACATGTGTGCTATATATCCTTATGAACTTAGATTAGTATTCTAACAGTTCGCCACTTGACTTTCCTCTTTGTCAATATATTGTGCATTCTGTGTTCTCTGTTGCAACTGATGCCTTGTTTCTAACTATCTTCCTTACTCATGTGGCTCTATGCTTTTATTAAATGTCTTAAGTTTGTTGAATCAATTGGCACAATTATTTTCACGATACCTTTTTCTCATGCTAACTCAAATCCTTTTTAATGAGCGCCTGTTTCATTTCAATTACCATGATGTTTCAGGTAGAGGCAACAATTGAATATATATGTCGGAATGAAGGTGGTGGAGCAATTCTTGTATTTCTTACTGGCTGGGATGAAATCTCTAAGCTGCTTGACAAACTTAAAGGAAATAACTTTCTTGGAGACCCTAACAAATTTTTAGTCCTTCCTTTACATGGCTCAATGCCTACCATCAACCAGCGTGAAATATTTGACCGCCCTCCCCCTAACATGAGGCGAGCATTTTTCTTTTACTGATTTGATTATAGGCAGATTTCTGTGATTTAAATATTCTTGGAGAAGTTTGTGAGAAATTTGTATGAGTGAGTATGATGTTGGCATGGCAAGTTGTATATATGTATGGGAGAATGACTGAGCCAGAACTCAAATCCAACATGTTGCAGCTTGAGAGACTTCGTGAATGGAAACTGGTTAATCTAGTTTACTTGTCTTTATTTTCAGGAATTTTCCATGTATAAATCGTCCCACTGCTAACTTACCAAAGTTCCAAAGTAGCTTAGCAAGTTGGCATCCGATGCAAAGCATTTTTTTTATTCATCAAAAAAAGCAATTGGCAAGAACATGATGGTCTGAGTTTAACCTGTCTTTGAAATATAATAATTTGAACGAAGGCTACAATATTTTCAGCTTGTTTAAGATACCTTGTTGGTTTGTCCTTGAAGTTTCCTATCTATCATGGGCACTTCACTTGTGATGTTTACCCATTCCAAAGTTTAAATGGTTGAGTGGAACATAGTCATATACTCCAAAAAGATTATTTAAAATCTCCCTTCTCTGTGTTATTGGATGGATATAAATGTGAAGAACTGCTATCCTGCTTAGTCTAAACTCTTGGAAAGCCTAATTTCTTGCACTGGTCTTTTTTCTTCTTTTATGTGGCGTTTCACTGTATTGACCATGTCAACTTGCAGCATTTTTGTAATATACATTAGATGTTCTGTAAGGATGTAGGATGTCTTGTTCTTTTCTCATCATTTTAGCATCTAGATTTTGATTGTTGTTATTTTGCCGTTGTAGAAAAATTGTACTAGCAACAAATATTGCTGAGAGTAGCATCACCATAGATGACGTTGTGCATGTCATAGACTGTGGTAAGGCTAAGGAGACCAGCTATGATGCTCTAAATAAGCTTGCCTGCCTGTTACCATCCTGGATTTCAAAGGCTTCAGCTCATCAGGTATTGAAGTTGTAAAACAATTTTTCTCAAGGGTTATTGGTCCCATTGAACATGTGACTCTTCGGAGGTTGAGCTTGCCCTTATTGCTGAATCCTTTAGTTGCTAAATGTTGTGTTTGACTCTAACCCCATGATAAAAGACAGAGAAGCAGAGTGTGAATGTGCAATGTGTTGATTTTACTAATGGGTAGACATCTCATTTCAGAGACGTGGCCGAGCTGGTCGCGTGCAACCTGGAGTTTGTTATAGGTTGTATCCAAAACTGATCCACGATGCAATGCCTCAGTATCAGTTAGCTGAAATCCTCCGAACACCGTTGCAAGAATTGTGCCTGCATATTAAAAGTTTGCAGCTTGGAACTGTGGGATCATTTTTAGGAAAGGCACTTCAGCCACCAGATCCTCTCGCTGTTCAGAATGCTATTGAGCTTCTAAAAACAATTGGGGCATTAGATGATATGGAGGAGCTTACTCCACTGGGTATATTATGCTGGATATGATTGTCTCCTTTATACTATTGATAGGCTTTGGATGTTATCTAAGCTAGTTTGATCTTTACAGGTCGGCATCTTTGCACCATACCTTTGGACCCAAATATAGGGAAGATGCTTCTCATGGGCTCTATCTTTCAGTGCCTCAATCCCGCCTTGACTATAGCTGCAGCTCTTGCTTATCGCAACCCATTTGTCCTACCCATAAACAGAAAAGAGGAAGCTGATGCAGCAAAACAATATTTTGCCGGTGATTCTTATAGGTTAGTCATTGATAGTGTTCAAGAAAATGTTCCCTTCTGATAGTTTTCATTCAAATTTTACTGCATTGACGATGCTTGTACTTAATTAGAAATATAATTTTGATTCAGTGATCACATAGCCCTTCTCAAAGCTTTTGAAGGATGGAAGGAGGCAAAACATAGTGGGAACGAAAAGGAATTTTGTTGGGATAATTTCCTTTCCCCCCCAACCTTGCGGTTGATTGATGACATGAGAATACAATTTCTCAATTTATTATCTGACATTGGATTTGTTGACCAGTCCAAGAGTATTAATGTAAGGCCCTAGTCCCAATTGCTTTTTCTTTTTAATTGAAATACTTTTCCCCATCTTTCCCGCAATTTAATTTCCCACTCTTTTGAATGCACTTTGGTTAAATTTTCCTGTTGACTAATTTTATTAGTCTGGGCACTTCCCCCATTTTTTTGTTAACTTCTGAAAGTAACAACTATAGTTTATTGCTAAATTCTGGACAAGAACTAAGGGTGATCATCGAGCATAATGTATGCGTATGCAGGCTTACAACCAGTACAGTCGTGATTTGGAGATGGTTTCTGCAATCCTTTGTGCTGGGCTCTACCCTAATGTTGTTCAGTGCAAAAGAAGAGGAAAACGGACAGCATTCTACACTAAAGAAGTTGGGAAGGTTGACATCCATCCTGCTTCTGTTAATGCTGGTGTTCATCTCTTCCCTCTGCCCTACATGGTATACAGTGAAAAGGTGAAAACAACCAGCATCTATATTAGAGACTCTACGAATATTTCAGATTATGCCCTACTTCTATTTGGTGGTAATCTTGTCTCTAACAAAACTGGTGAGGGCATTGAGATGCTTGGAGGCTACCTTCATTTCTCTGCTTCGAAGAGTGTCATTGAGTTGATAAGGGTAATTTCCCTCGATCTTTTGTATAAAATGTCTGGTTCTTTTTCTTTATTACTTATTTTGAGCTATGCTTGAGCAAAGCAATCTCATGATAATGGGATTTGCAGAAATTACGCATGGAGCTTGACAAGCTTCTAAACAGAAAGATTGAAGAACCAGGATTGGACATTTCTGCTGAAGGAAAAGGAGTGGTTTCTGCCGCTATTGAGTTGCTGCACAGTCAAAGCATTCGATAATTTCTTTTTTTCCAGGAATGAGGGCATGTTGTTCTGAGTCCTGCCATTCATTAGCTATTATAATTAGCGGAAGTTTTGACGATTTTACTAGCAGTTTTTATTATTCGCTAACAATGTTATATATATATATAGAGAGACAGGATCCTTTGACACCGGTGTCAAAAAAAAAATTTGACACCTCATCTGAGAGCCGTTAGATTAAAAAAAATCAACGATTCTGATTTGTAAGCATGTGACACCATTGATTTTTTTTAATCTAACGGCTCTCAGATGAGGTGTCAAACTTTTCCTTTGACACCAGTGTCAAAGGATCCTGCCTCATAGATATATATCAGTTTTTATTAATCGCTGACAATGTTTTATGAGGTAGGATCCTTTGACACCGGTGTCAAATTTCAATTTTGACACCTCATCTGAGAGCCATTAGATCAAAAAAGATCAACGACTCTGATTAGCAAGCATGTGACACCATTGATCTTTTTTGATCTAACGGCTCTCCCATGAGGTGTCAAAATTGAAATTTGACACCGGTGTCAAAGGATCCTATCTCATGTTTTATATATATATATATATATATATATATATATATATATGAGGCAGGATCCTTTGACACCGGTGTCAAAGAAAAAGTTTGACACCTCATTTGAGAGCCGTTAGATTAAAAAAAATCAATGGTATCACATGCTTACAAATCAGAATCGTTGATTTTTTTTAATCTAACGGCTCTCAGATGAGGTGTCAAACTTTTTTTTTGACACCGGTGTCAAAGGATCCTGTCTATATATATATATATAGGGATAGGATATTGTGACACCCAAGTTATGTTACACCCAGTCAATCTCACCGTTAGATCGCTTATGTTGATCCAACGGTTATATTTATTTCCATCTTTGTATGGTCATGATTTTTCAAATTTAAAGTGAAAGCATTAAATATGGGAAATCATAACCATACAAAGGTAGAAATAAATATAAAATATTAAATTTGGGAAATCATGACCATACAAAGATGGAAATAAATATAACCGTTGGATCAACATAAGCAATCTAACGGTGAGATTGACTGGGTGTCACAATATTCTATCCCATTAATATATAGGGTTTATCGTTTCTCAAGCTGCTTGAGATAACTTTATCTTCGACCACTAAATCATAATCGTACAAAGATGGATCAACAATGATAAAAGAAGAGAGAGAAAAAAGAAATCATAACCATTCAAAGGTGAATCAATAAATATAAGGAAATAAATAAACAAAACGATGTAGTTTTGGGCTAGCCGGAGATAAATATATCTAAAGCAACTTGAGAAATATTGTTCTTATATATGGGCTTATCGTTTCTCAAGCTGCTTAAAATAATTTTATCTCTGATCATTAAGAGCCTATATGTTTGGGCTTCTAAAAAAAGTAACTTTTATCTCTTTCTTATTTCAGAAGTACTTTTTATAAAAGTTAAAGCTATTTATACTTTAATAAAAATATTTAATTTTAAAAAAAATATTTGGCTTTTGACTTTTGCTTTTTTTAGAAGTTAAAATTTTTAGCTTCTGAAAAAAGTAGGTTTTTGGTTTTTTTTTCGTAACTTCTATTTTTTTTTTAAAAGCAGATATCCAAACGAACAAAAAATGAGAAGTACTTTTAAAGAAAGAAAAAGCTCATTCAGACGGGCCCTAAATCTTAAACGTACAAAGATGAATCAACGATGATAAAGGAAGAGAGAAAAAAAAGAAATCATAATCATTCAAAGTGAATCAATAAATATATATATTTGTTAATCAGGTTTAAATCTTATTTTTATTTATTTGTTACAATAAGTAGGAATATCATCTAACTCTAAGTCCTGGTATATTCAGTCATCGAAACGTTTTCACCCTGTTAGGGCGCAGATGATGATGTTCCTATTTATTGTTTCACATTAGCCATAACAGTGTGGAAACGTTTCGATTCAATATATTGAGGCCAAAATGACGTTTCTACTTATTGTAACAAATAAATAAGAGTAGGAATTAGGCCTGATTAATTAGATGGCCTGCATGCTATTGCCACTGATGTGAAATAGTTTTAGTCATCTGAAACAAATGTACTACTTAAGTTTATCTGATGTATAATTACTTTTAAGGGTGTTCTGTTATTTGTCTTCTATTATAACTGCTATTTTTTATAATTTCTCATGTTCTTTTATAATTTTTATACTTTTATTTAAAGTATTTAAGAATTAATGTGATTATCTCTACTGAGTTTTAAAGGGTGTTACAGTTAGGGGTGGCAAAAACGAGCCAATCCATCGGGTTGACTCGTAACCCGCCACAAATGAATCGGGTTGGGTTAGCATAAATAAGTTGTCAACTCGACCCGAGTCAACCAGAACTCAAACGAGCCAGCTCGTGGGTCAAACGGGCCAGCTCGCGGGTTGAGTTTTTTTTTTTAATTAAAAATAGTAATATCAAAAACTGCCCTAGCCGTATCTCACTTCTTACTTTCTTTCATCGTCACTTCTCACTTTCGTTCATCGTCACTCACAATTTCTCCGATTCCCCCTCTCTTTTTTCTTCGCTCGTCTTCGCTGCCAGTAGCCAGAGACTCAGAGTGCCCGGTAAACGCTGGTCTTCGCTCGTCTTCATCTTTTTTTTCTTTATATTTTGGTTTTGTTTTTTGGTATGATTTGAATCGTGAGTGAGGATTTATGTGTTTTTACCCTTTTGGTTGTACTCATGCTATCTGAGTTTGTAGAACCATTATTCTGGAGTGTATGATCTTAAGTTTGAGAAAAAGAATAAGAAGATAAAATTCATTTAATGAAAGTAACCAGATGAAAATGTCAAAACTGTGGATTTATGTGTATGGCTGAACCTTAAGATCCATTCATGCTATAATACAATTGTTTATTCAGTAAAACATTCACTTCTAGAGATTTGTCGACCATAATCATTTGTCAATTAAATATATTGTATGCTATTATTTTATTTGAAAGATATTCGATTTTGTCTCTGAACTCATGTTTAGATTCATAGCTTAATTTGGATTTATATACTTATGAGTGCTCTCTCTGGTTGATGTTGATTTTGAAATTGTGTACATGGCTATAGTAGAATAGAATGCATATATGTATAACTTTGTGAAATAGTGTATGTCGTTGGTTGGTGACAGATCTATTCATTTTCATAATTTCATAATCCTTGGGTCTTGTAACTTTTAATTTTTGGATTTGCTTGGCTGTTTAAAGTTTAAAGTTTAAAAGTTTAAACGCATAGAATTGTGCAGAACAGATAGAGAGATTGATATGTGAATGGTTACATGCCTACACCCAACTGTGACAACCAACTATGTATTTGATTCTATTTAGCTTTATTGAAGATTGTATTTGGTATTTGCAGGAAACTTAGCTCCACAGAAACCATTATTTTTTGAGACCCGCGAGCCAACCCGCTGGCAATATTTTGAGCTAACCTGCGAGCTTTTTCCGAGCCAACCAGCGAGCTTTTTTCCGAGCCAACCTGCGAGCTTATTTTTGAGCCAACTCGCGAGCCAACCGTAACCCGGCTCGGGTCGGGTTGGGTTGGGTTTTCTGGCCCGTTTTTTTTTTTCCGAGCCAATCCTAACCCGGCTCGTTTTTTTCGGGCTGAACACAGGTCGAGTCGGGTTAGCCCGTTTTGCCAACCCTAGTTACAGTTACTAAAGCTCAACAAGGGGAGGAGAAAAAGGGATTGGGTTTTACACTTTGATTCTCCTCATATGGGAAACTGAGTCGCATTGGGCTACATATGCCCATTGGTAGCAATATTTCTCTTATTATATTATACTTTTAATTTCTTTTATTTGATTATACTTTGGGAAAAATATGTATAATTTTAAAGGATATTAAGTTGTGTCATTTTAAGTAAGAGAAATAAATAAATCATGAAAGAGAGAGAGAGTTGATAAAAAAATGGAGATGTGAATTTTATTTTTTTATGAAAATAAAATGACACAAATTATGTTATTTAATATTTTTATGATTGACTGGCCCAAGATATTTTTGTAGAAGTTACACGAAGATACTATGATCTTAATTCCCGGTTTACTTCTTGGGCTTGAATTACCTAACGGGTTGTATTTTGCGCTTTTATACTTCAGTATTTCGTTTACTTTCAAAGTCTGTTTATTTATTTATTTTATTTTGGGGAGGAGGGGATGTTAGGCTATGAAGCATCGACACTTCAAAAATTCTGAAGTATTGTGTCCGACACTCTGACACTCTAACCAAAAGCTCTGCCCCCCCCCCCCCCCTTCTCGATCTATCCAAGGGATGGAAGGGCAGAGACCTTTGGACACTCCAACACGCGTTGTAGAAACTCAAAAAATGGTTCAAAGGTTGTGTTGCGTTGCGTTTTTAGTTCCAACTCGTTGGATTACGATTATCATTTTATTGAGTTTAATATAAATATTTGGGATATTTATGTTTCTTTACAAAATTGATGAGTATTATAAGTTTAACTTCATTTTTTTATTAAATTATTAAATATTCAATATAATATACACTAAATAAATTAAAAATATTATTTAATATCAAAACATGTCGTAACGTGTCGAAATTTAACATTTTTTAGAATTAACGTGTCGGAGTATCGTGTCGTGTCGTATCACGTGTCCCGTATCTGTATCGGTGCCACATAAGTGTTAGGACACAGCTTTTGAAATTTAAGTAGCATGTGTATGTCTGTATGACCGATTACATGACATAACACCATTTGCAGCTAAAGCCTATTCACATTTTTATTTATTTATTGTGTGTCTTTGATCATTGTATTTTCGCAGATATTATTATGTGATTAGTTTTGTAGGTACGGTTGCCATTGATTATTGTAAAGAGGTTCTTTGAATAATTATTTCGCCCATTAAGTTTAACCCAATAGATTATAATTATTGATGGACGGAAATCGACGGTTAAGATCTAAAATGATATAAGCTTGTATTCTTTTTTTTTTTTGGAAACTGATCCTAATTACCTCTTTGAGGCGAATCAGAACCCCCTGGTATCCCCACGGGTTCGACTCTTTGAGCCGCCTATAGGACTAATCCAGAGTTCGGGTGCGAGTCCAAGGATTACGGTACTTATGCCCCTCCCCAAATGGTGTTGGTGCGATTCGAAGGTTCAAATTACAATTTTCATTATTTATTTCAAGGTTCAAATTACTTATACCCCTCCCCAGTTGGTGGAAATCAACTTAAACTTGTATCTTTTAAAACGATAGACG